AAGGCAACAAACTCAAAGATTTAAGGAGTGTGAATACTTTATTGAGATGCTGTAAAATTAAGCGTATAACTTACCAACTCTTATTGTGCTATTTCCTCATCAGAGACAGCTGTTTTATATATATATATGTAGTATATTAATGCAGAAAAACTGTAAATGTGGCAGCTTTTAAACCAGGGGTATCCAAAGTGCAACTCGGGGGCCATTTGGGGCCTCTAAATTATTTTGTGCGGCCCTAAAGCACAATTAATCAGATCCAGGACCTTCTTGCTGCAAAACAACTGCATCACCCTGCAGCTATAGACATACTTTGTCACTAAATATTTTATAACTTCTTTATTACATGAGATATAATACTTTTGGAACAGCTATAAAGCCTATCTAATAAATCTCCTTTTCTGATACTATGTAAAATATAACATCTATATACCATGTGTAATATATTATTGTGTAAGCATTATAGCATTAGTAATAATTTAATACAGTTTAAAAACAGTGAGGTGAATTAACATTTTATAAGGGAAACATTAGGTATTCTATTTTTGCTTTTCCCTGACAAAGATAGAATATAAAGATTATATATTTTTGGTTAAAACATGTTTTTTATTAGTTACACACAGTGGATAGAATAACCATAACTTTTACTTATGTAAGAGACTACTATGTAGGTTGTCGGATATCACGTGTAACATATCATTTTGTTAGTATATTAGCAAGACATTGGTAAAATTTGACTGCATTTTTAAAAATAATGAAGAAAATAACATTTTAACAAGGGAAATAATAGGTACTGTACTTTTGCTTATCTCTGACAAAGATTGATATATGAAGACAGAATATAAAGATAATATAAAGTTTTCACTAGCTACTTTACAAATATAAAATAACTTTTGAACAGCAAAGCTTGTTGCATTTTTGGTAAATTTTTTTTCTTCATAAGTTGCACACAACGGGTAGAGCCAGAAATTTGACACTTCATAATAATATTACTCAAATAAAAATAAAAAGTAGGGTGTAGTACAACAACCGCTAAAAACATTTTTTTTCAACTGTTAAAGTAAATGTAACTAATTACTACCGAATAATTAATTTATAAAATATACAAGTTTTACCGACTTAAATTGAATTGCTGAAATAACTTGAACACTGATATTGTAATTTATTTAGAAGCACATAGATGACAAAATCACCAACGGAAGATGTAACCCTACAAACTATGATTTTCTTTCGCCCACAGCACCTCCTAGCGGTTCAATTTAAATTAACAACCCACTTTAACTGGGCGGAGCGTTTTTTACCTCTAGCCCCTCCCTCCCATAGTGAGACCCCTGACGTAGGCGTTCGAGGGTAGCAACAGTTGCCTTGAGACCCCGCCGCGCTATAGTGACTGTAGCCGTGGAGACAGTTACTTACCAACGGGCGCAACACTCAGCAACAGCAGCAGCAGCATCTGGAAGTCACCGAGTGAGTTGGAGAGAGGGAAAGAGAGCAGAACTTTTCTCAAGGCAAAGGTGATTTTATGTTTATAAAATTTAGAGAGTGATTTCGTTTGAAGGGAGAAAGAAATGTATGTTGTCGAACGCGTCTTCCTGAATGTAACTTTCTCCTCTTTCTGGCATCCGCCCCAAGTTGCGAACAGCTTTTTTTCCCTTCCGTGAAACGATAACATTTCGCTTCTAATGTTCTCTTTGGATCTGTTCCCAACTTCTACAGCTGCTTGCTTTCAAAATATATTATTTGTGACTACAAATCCGAACTAATTAATCACTTTACACTTGTTGCTACTTATGTTGTTTAGTGGAAACCGAGACGTGAACGCTCCTTCAGCTTAGTTCCAACAGGATGGATGGATGAACGTATAGTAAAGTACGGCTAATGCTAATTCCGTTCGCCGACATGAGAGCAACTTCACTTGTGAGTTTAAACGTGGGTGGAGTTGTTCAGGTTTGTTGTGGGGGTTTCATGGAGACAACACGGTTAAAGTTCGGCCGTTGGCGCGTCGCTTTTTTGGGCCGTTTAAACAGGTGGAAGAGTAGCTAGCTAGCTTTAGCACCGCTGCTTCTGCTGCTACAACTGTTTCCAACGTCTCCTACTTCCAAACTTATTCAACGTAACGTTCACGACGCAGTTTCTTTTTTAAAATTAATTAAATATCAAACAGCAAACCGAGCTCTAGTGTGTTTAAACTTTTTTTATAGCGGCCTTAGAGCCTCATTAAATCGAGTATTTTAGTTGATTTCCATCACATTGAAATTGACCCTAATTATCCTTTTTTACATAATGAGATTAACCAAAATGTAACAAAGTTAGGTTGCTGTCAGTATTTCAGGCCTAACTTTAATAACACGATGTGTTGTTACAGCTAGGTGGTGCCACTGCATGGAGATTCTTAAATATTAGTTAGTGATCTAATATGGCTTTTAAAGTCATTTTATTAATTTATAGGCATCACCTGACGGTTTACTTAGTATTAAGTGATTGGAGTTATCTTTAGACTTGCCTCTTTCACAAATTACTCTTCTTAAATAAGTTCTTTACAACAAAGTAGTTGTTAATAGGCAAGTTATAGAGCTACACATTTCTCTTTGTTCAACTGCCAGCTATTTTATCTATTTGCAGAGCAGAAAATCCATCGAATCTCAGCCATAACTCTAAAGAGAAACGTTAGATAAAGTTTGTCCCTTGTGATTCTCAGTCGCCCTGTCATCCATTTTATAGCATCTTTTGACAGCTAATTATATATATGAAAAACTTCTTATCCTTTCAGGATTTTGTCTCAGGAGGTACATTATTTCTGTTAACAAAAAACATCCCACCAGATTCTTACTTGTATTTTATGCTGTTGAAGAGTTTTGTATATGCAGTGATCAAAGATTTTGTTGATGGTGTCAGATTCTTGTCACTGATTCATCTTCTTTTAATTTTTTTTAAAGTTGTTTTTATGAAATCTATAAATAACAGTAAATGTTTTCTCAACTTTCCGAATAAAATGAAAGAATATTAAGGTTTAACCAAAAAGTTGATTGGAAAAATACAATAGTTTCTCTCTAACAGGCAATATTTACAGAGGTCTCTGCATCACTGAAAGTCTCCAAATACTGTAAAATTTTACTGATTGTGGAAAAGAAGAATCTGAGCAACTAAAAACTAAGTTAAAGTAAATTACATCATGTCTCCTTCACAAAGGAATTTCCTTCAATAAGGACATTATAATCATTACAGTTTTCCATTTTTTTTGTACAAATTTGAAATTGTAAAAAAAAAAAACAAAAAAAACAATCAAAACCATAAGATAATCCATATGTTTCCTTAAGCACCTTTAAAATAAATAACACTGATATCCAACTTAATATTTGAGAGGAAAAAGATTCAGATTTAGTATGACGTCTACTGTTAAATTCATTTATTGTAGCTCTACAGGAGCCAAAGTGAGATTCACTCCAGCAGAATCAGATGAAGGGTAAAAATATGCCGCAGTTATTCCCTGTTGAGAAATGCACATTGGTATTGTTGGCCGACTCTTCATGTTGCAGCATTTAATAATCATCTGGCAACGTCATTGTTTCCTGTAACTCTGTGCTTATCCACACTTCACCTGGAAGTGTGTGTTATGACTCCAAATGACAGTTGACAAGATGCTTGAGCGATCATGTTGAGTTTTACACCTCAGGCATTTTTTCTGTGATCAATCATTTACAAATTCCTCAATGTTTGGGCCAGAGGTGATGTCACACTGTGTGTGTGTGTGTGAGACAGCAATCAGCATTACCCAACTCTGCAATTAAACAGGATTTGTCTATTATTTCAAGGAAAGAACATGATTACGAGGTTGACATTTTAAGCTTCTATTAGCACTTAGCGCGACAGTTAGCATTGTTAACAGTGGTCTCTGTTTCTATTCTTTGTAGAGATATTAGATTCTTATCTGAATTGTGTGATTTCCAAAATAAAGCATTTCCAGATCCAGCATGTTACATGACTCTAAACAAAGACACAACTGAGGAACTTTCCTGTAATACAATCAGCTTTCTGTTGTCATCTAACTCCCTGTTGTAGCAGTCTGAATGATGAGCCGGCGAGGCTCTCTAGATAATACAGTTCTGGAAGCTTTTTACCCCATTTGTCCTTTACCAACACTTAAAATAGCTGATTCTTTTTCACTCTTCACTCAGCAACACATTACACACCAAACAGTGTTGATTTCAATTCCACCTGGCTGTGTTTTTTTTTTTTTTTTTTTTTTTAAGATTGAAGCTTTAGCTTGGATCAGAGCAGGACAATATTACATTGACAGGCAGACTCATGTTGCTACCAGATGATTTCTCAGTACGTCTCTGTTCTTTCAACATGTTTCTAATAAACATCTTTATTGAATATTTGCACTTGCATATTGAAACATAGAAAGGGTTTTGGATGACTTGGATGACAGATCAAACATTTGAATTCAACTTCAAGTTTCTATTTTTGATTTCTGCCTTAAAAACCGAAATTAATTTTATGCATTTTGGTATTCACAGCATAAATCAGACTTTGCTTTCATTGATATGTTCCATTTTCCTCAATTCATGTTTAGGTATAAAATATCATATCAAATCTGTTTTCTTTTATGTAAAATTAGTTTAGTTATTCTTTATATGATGTCAAAGTGAATGTCTTGAAATTTGAAAATATTGCATATGTTTGGGATTCTTCCAGCTACAAAGTTTTAACTCCTTTAAACTGAAGAAATTTAAAGCTTTGTTTTGAAGTGAGAAACTTTCATTAGTCAGACATTCCTCCCAGCAGCAATAACACCAAATCATAACCGTGATATCAAAGCGATGACTCTGCTGAAACTGTGAAACCTCCACCCGCCCAACCTCCCCGTCTAAGCGTGACACTGTTATGTTTACATGGCAACTTGATACACAAAAACACAGAAGGCATGGAAAGAAAAAAGGGTCAGAGAGGGCCAGGGAGTGAAATGTCCTCATCAGGTATATTTTATCTCCCTCCTTGTGGCTGCATTGCATACCTTCAGTTTGCAGAGGCAGGTCTGAGAAAAGGTATGTGGAAAGCACTTGATGGAACAGAGCAGAAGTAATTAAGGAGATTGTTGTTTCTAACTTTCTGTTAGGTCACGTGTCAGCTTTTGAAATTTGAGGAATAACCTATTTTATCTGTAAGCACAACACTGGCTTGTAACTTAGCAATAAAGAGTTTCTACCCTGTGTTCCACAAAGTATTTTGATGGATTATTGTATTCCATTATCAACTCTTACTCATTTTGCATCTGACATGTTTAATGGATCCCTGTGTGCAGTCAGTAAGCAGCAGAACAGCTGCAGAGATCTCCTGGGCAGTGGGTGACCTAACACAGCTTTTAGTCAATGTGTGTATGAATTTTTTGTCTGCATTCATATGTGTATGATGTCAGTGTTTGCCGATGATGTATTTAGCTATCTTGATGAAACCATCCACTTAGATTATACAAAAAAAGTTGGATTTGTCATAACCTTGAGTAAATACCACAGTTTCAGGTTATTATGGTACTGACATAAATGTTAAAAACAAATGTTTGATTTAATGTAGGGAACAATTATTCTAACTGGTTCATAGTCCTTATGAACCAGTTAGATGGATTAAAAAAAATCCATCTAAAAACATTTCCAGACAGCTGAATTTCTAAAATAGCCTGAAAAAAGAGTTGGTGCCTTCTTTCATCCAGCTGAGCAGCAGTGTATAGCAACAGGTGGAGAAGGATTATTAGTTTTTCTATGCTTCAAACAGCTGGAAAAATGAAACTAGAAAAATGTAGCTGCTTTCCAAACCATAATAAATATATATATATATATATATATATATATATATATATATATATATATATACACACACACACTTCTCCTGGTGAGTGTTGTGTGTCAGATAGAGCTGCACTTGCTTTGGAACGTGAGCTACTTCGCTATTTTTGCTCACATCTTTGTCATATTTTAAGACCGTTTTAATGGTTTATTGCAGAACTCGAGTCGTGGCATGTCAGAAAATCACAGAGCGAAACTGAAGGGCTGAGAGGAGAATGCCTCGAGGGGGCTTGTTAAGTAGAAATTAATAGTGCCATTAATGCATTTGAAATGTTACAGGTTCATACTTTCCACAACTCACTGGTCTGTTAAGTGATGCAATATTATCTGTTGATAGCAAAACTGTCTCTCTTGCTTTAAGTTTGTCTGAAAAGATTTTGGAAAATGCTGGTTTTCGCTGCTAGGAAACGGAGAAACAACTCTTGTTGTTCCCTCAGAAAATGCAGTCACTGATTCGCCCTGGTGTAACGGTAACAAGCTGAGGCTTGTTGTGAAATGAAATGTTTTTCAGTCTTTACCCTCAGTCTGAGTGTATGTGTCGGCTACATACCTTGCGTTACACCTGCTTGTTTCGTGGCTACACAACTGGTAATTAAATTTCCTGCCACAAACTGAAGACAAGGCACCAAGATTTGCATTACAATGACCTGCCCCCTCCCTGAGTTCAGGCA